GCCTACTAGCGATGGCCTCCAACCTAGTAGCGATGGCCTCCCACCTACTACTGATGGCCAACTCTGTCTGAAATTGTCTAACGTATGTCATCTGAGGCCCGAGCCTGAGCTCAAGGCGAAAGCGACCCGTGGCTGAAGCGCTGGGGAGCGGCGAATCTGCAAATGTTGTCATAGATACCAGGCATATCGAGATGTTTTCGGGATGATGCCGGGATGTTTGGGGGCTATGTAGCGAATTTGTGCAAATGTTAGCCAGTGCTTGGATCCCGTTGACGATAGTTGACAGTGTCATGATCTTGAAGTCGCTAGCTCCACGCGCCGTGTACAATCGAAAATCTGCCCACGTGTCGTGCACATTCGTGCAGTTTGGGGCTTAAGGATGTCAAGAACGCGTCCACTGAACACCAGTAAAGGCCGTCATGTCCCACTGCAAATCCATGTGCATTCCGCAGCCAGCCTAGAATCTTGTCTTGGGCAACCGGACTCTTTTGCAAGAACGGTGAAGGTGTTTCATGCTGTAGGGTGGAGGCCATCGTTATTAGGTTGGAGGCCATCGCTATTAGGTTCCTTTTGCTATGAGGTGTGACATCGTTGGAGGTATGTGCAGTCTGCTTAAAGGTGGGCATGACGTCAAATTCACTGCAGTCTTTCAGCGGGCAGAAATGCCACCACCACGATCCTCAGCTTCTGTAGAAATGGTTTGACTGAGCGGCTCAGAAGCGGATTCCAGGAGCATGGACCTCAACATTCTTGTTTTGTGAGAGGAAAACTGTATCATCTACAGTTGCTATCCAGTTGCTATGCAGTTGCTGCAGAACAGCGCTTCATTTCACTTGATCATACCTGAAATCAGTGCAAAGGTCATGCAAAATAGACTCACAAAATGGTCTTGCAAAGAAATGCAAGGACAGCGTTCTTCCAGAAATTAGTGCATCAATATCCTCCAAGCTGCACAATGTTGGCCACTATGAACCTTGCCAATGCGAGGTGCACATGCCATGCAGTATGGAACACTACGGTCTTTGGAGAGAATTGCAAGAAAGCTGCATCACCCACAGCGAAAAGCATAGGAGACTATCTCTCCTGGCGCTCACTAGTCGCTCTTACCCACAGAGTACCGGTGGCCTTGATTCTACGTCTTGGTCTTGAATGAACTGTGTAATCAATGCAATTTAGCATCACGTGTTAAACATGTTTTTTGTATATACATACTTTTACAAAACGTCGGAGAACACAAAGGTCACTACACTAAGGCTCACTAAGGCTCACTCCAACAAGCACACCATCTGTTTCAAGAAATCAAAAACAAGTTCTTTCCGTTTTCGAAAGCTCTCCTCTGGGCTGATTTGGGACCGCCCAACTCTCCGCCGTAGACCCGACGTCGGGTAAAGAGCCTTGGAGGTGGCGAAACCAGAAACGACTGTTTAGACCGAAACGCTGCGGTATCCAAACCTCAAAGATACAATACATATATATATTGATCAATCCCTGTAAGTGATAAAACGTTAAGGTTTTGCTGGTTTTACCCCCTGGCAAGACCTCCGGCAGGGTTTGAGGAAAAAATGTATAAAATTATTGCCAATTCTGAAAAGAACTATGCTTTTATGATAACGTCTATGATGAGTCGCCTTTTGGGCGATAAAATATTGCGTTCATGATGTTTTAGGGCTTTAGAAAAGCTTGAAAAGTCACTCAGCCAAATGGTAGGGGGTTGTTCTTTTCCTCCCTGCAGTGCTATCCGAAGACACAGCTTGACACTCTCTTGTGGAGGCCAGTGGCCAATCTCATTCCGTCAAAATAGATGAACGTCGATGAAATGGTGGTGTAAATTCCAAATCATCCAGGTTCATACCCTGGCCGCCCTGGCCCATATCATTTTCACGACTCCATGATCGTGTACGATCCTTTTTGCGCACACGAACCATACGAGTGTGGTTTCCATTTGGGCTAGGCATTTCCCAATCGGACGAGCTGGAAACAGGGTCGCCAGCCGTGTGCATCACGTGGACTACTGGTCTCGGAGTCGGAGTCACAGTGTGTTGCATCAGTTGTGGTGAAGGCGAAGTGGGAGGAAGCGCTAGCATTGATTTCATCTGCCGCATGTGCCAGGCCAGCGCCAAAAAACATAGAAGCAACACGCATAGGAGCATCACTAGGAGCATCCATGGCAACCACTCAATTAAGCCACCGGATTCTGTCATAATACGGGCGGCGCAGACTTGCGGACGCAGCGGAATTGAACGAAACTAACTACCCCCCTTGGACAAGATGTCACTACTGCAGCATTGCAAGCGAACAGTGGCAGCATTGAACTACTGTGATGAGTCCAGGTCGTTATTTGTCATGTTACGAGTTTTGTGAAAGTTGCTCGATGGTTCACAAAGCTTTCTGTTTGCCGTCGATGTTTCTTTGGTCTGTGGTCGTCTCTACACAACCTTGCGCAAAACACGCTGGTGGTGCTTGCGTTGGAAAACATGAAACATAAGGCAGCTTCACGCGCATCAAGATCAAATCAGATCACCCGCATTAAGATAGTCCTCCTCCTGCGGTTGGAACCGGACAATTTGGAACCCATCGGCGCTGCAATAGGGCCAGGCCATTCATTATATACATGACTCAAAAACACACAGAAAGTAACGTGAGTGCACAATTTTCATCCTGCCTAAGTTTTGGTCTTGGTCACTCTCCGATACCGATCGCCAACGCTGTCACTGGAAAACAAACAACACAGAACACTGGGTTCACAACTTGGCATCGGCATTGGTGTTCTCATCAGATTCGTCAGAATCCGATCCCGAACTGCATGATTCACTCTGACTCATACCCTGACCCAAGATCAGGGTCGTTGCCTGGCTTGAGGTGGTTGGAGTTGGAATGAGTCCAACACGGAAATGCTTACGGCCGTCACCCAGGTCACCGTGCAAAAGCACGCTGGCGAGGACGCTCCCAATCACTGGCATGGACATCGCGTTTCCTGCCCAAGAAAAGCCACACGCTCACACACACACACCAAGAAGACACACACACAGTGTGCTACAGGCCTGCCAAAAGGCTCCAGAACGAAGGCCTGGTAAATCCTGCAAAGTTCAACTTGTCGAGAGAGAAGCCGTGCCTGCACAGAAGCAAAACTTTGATGTAAGTAGGCTCTAAGATATCGGACTGTGGGTCTAGGTTGCTGACATAGCCAGAAGCTCATAGCCGTGAAGCAACCGGCCACGTTTGTATGAGTAGATTCGGCTATTGGTCGTCAACCTCAAGGCAAGTGCTACAGTGTACGAGTCCCTATCACTATTGTCATCGTCAGGCAAACAAACAAAACAAAACTATCAAAACTAAATTTCTGTTGCAACCCAGTACGAACGTACAAAAAAGAACATAACCGAAGAACTAACTTATGAAGACGAGCCCAAAGAACAGACGCCCAAAAAAGATGAGGCCATTACATTACTTTCGTTTCGCGCGAGTCATGAGTCCTGAGTCATACTAGACAGACTTAGGTCGGCGCGATGGTAAAAAACCAGACGCATTGATTGCCCCTCTATTGTAGCTCTTCACACAGTCCACCAACAACTTCTCCAGATCAACACCTGTGCTGGTTGCGTTCCAATACCGCAAATTAATGACTGCTTCCTCTCTGGGACGGATGGCGCGTTTCCACTCAGACCATTGTGATTGTGCCCACAGCGAATGCCTGAACAAACAAAGTCACAAAATGACATGTTTCTTTGTTTACGGGGTTGCTATCCACAAAGAAAAGCTGGCCTTCCGAATTCGCCGTCATTTGTTGCAACATTTGTTGCAAGCTGGTCGAGGCCCAACACGGACAATTCCTTCTGAATCTCAAATACCTGCGTTGGGGTCAAGGATTGGTAGCTGCTGGGATCGGGATACTCCTGCCAGGTTTGCATATTGCGTTTGTTTGCAAGCGGAAGAAGAAGGGAAAACAAAAAACACAGCAGCCGTCCTCTCTCTCTCTCTGTCTGTCTCTCTGTACGTAGGTTGCTTTTGCCCCACGCCCTCTTGACTTTGGTACGCACATCACTCAACAAAGGCAAATTGGAGCACGGCACTGTAGCCAACCCCCAAGCGCAGCTTTACAAGATTCAACTTGTAATGCTTGCAGTACCACTCCACTGTATGAGCTGAGTGAGGCTTTGCGGCAGCAAGACGGCTTGCGCGATTAGATCAGATCAGTGATCAGTGCAATAATCCACCAAAAAGACAAACAGAGTTTGGTTTGCTGCATTGGTTCGTCCGACTCTCACTAAATACTAAAAACACCGAAGGCGCAAACTCTAGCTGCAATCATTGCACCAGGCTACCGGATACCGGCTACTGGGATTTGTTGCTTCGCCGGCCTTTTGCCGGAACCTGCTTGGGCGGGGGCATCTGCGTCGCAGACTTTTCCTGCGGACGTCAATGTAAAAAAAAATTGTAAAAAACAAAACAACAGCCCGTACATAAAAACTATAGTGTAGTGTAATGTATTAATTTCTTAATATGAAAAGAAATAAACCAAAAACCGGTCCTTCTGAAGCTTGTCAAGGCGGTCTACCAATTGTTTTGGTAGATTCTTCTTTGGCAAACGCAGCTCTGTTTGACAGAACTTGTAAAATTGACTGACTGTAGGCGCATTTGGGTCTGGAGTTGTTGGAGGGTGTGCGTAGTTCTCCCACACATCTGATCCGAGTAAGAGCGCAAAAACCAAGGCGACATCTCTTGAGGTAGGCTCCTGACTCACAATGCCGCAAAGCTTCTCGTAGAGCTCGCTCACCTTTTGCTGTCCCCTGGTCTTGGACTTGAACTCTGAATCGAATGACTTCGCAATTTTGAAGCTTTCCTCCAGCTCATCCATCACCGGGATGCCTGAAAAAAAAACGGTGGCAAGTGACAAGTGGCATTTGGCGAGTTTTTTGGATTGCAAAGAGCTAAGCTTGGTGCGGTCTTTGAGCAACTGCCCTACCTTCTTTGCCTCGTCATCTGACTGACCAGGATCGACTGTCTTTTTGATGATTTCCTCGCCACGCTGAATCAACACAGCTTTCAATTTAATTAAAGTTACCTAAGTTAGCTAGTAGTAGCTAGTAGTAGCTAGGCTAGGCTAGGCTAGTAGTAGTAGCACGCCGCTTTTGCTGAATCACAATTTAGCAATCGAAGGCTTGGCCTCATCCCAGTCCATCACGCCCTGCACGATAGGCTGATATTTCTTGTATGTGGCTTGAACTTGCTCCTTCTCTGCAGACAATCCGTCGGCGATCACACCTAATGCGTCCTCTGCCGCTTTGACCACAGTCTCGATCAATTTGGCGCAATCACCCAATCCATTCACATCGGAAGGGATCTCTTGCAGGTTGAAGGTGGCAATTTGCGCATACTGCATGATTGCCTCTTTGCGGCCAGCTTGTGTTTGAACATCCAGGGTCTCGGCTGCCTTTCCCTCTTGCAACGAAAGCATCACGGTCATAGCACGAAGGAAAGAAGATGCCTGGGAATCCAAGAGGGCCTTGCAAACGGAATCCATTGTCTTCACGGCATCAAATTTTCCCTCCCGCAAAAGGATCTTCATCCAAGCGACCTGCAGGTCATTCTTGCTTGGCATGTCAAAAAGCTTGACCAATAAGGATGCGCACTTGCAAACATTGCCTGGTCGTGGTCGCGAATTCCCGCCCCCCCCCCCCCCCCCCCCCTGTTTAGTCCAGTCCAGAATCTAAGGTGAAATAACATATCGACAATGATTCCACTGCAAAGCCAAAAAACAGGCCTTCAGTGTCAGTGTCATTGAAGGTCAGGCGCAATTCTGGAATGGCCTTTGACTGGGTCAATGTGTGCATAGATCGCGCGGCATCAGAAAAGGTTTCGATGGACAGGCTCTGCTCTGCCTTCATCACTTTGGCGTGGGTGTCAAGCAAGTTGGTGAAAAGATCCATGGTGTTCCATAATGTCGCGCACTCATCTTTCTTGCAAACCTCCATGCAGGGTGCGCTTTGGACAAAGGGTGATCTAGGCTGAGCTAGAGTCTAGTTTCAATATCTACCGACAATTGAATAAAATATCGACAACTCGACGACTATGCCTCTGACTTTGACTCAAATGGAATGAAAACAAATCATGGCAAAGGCTAGGGCGACGGTCCACCAAACCCAGCACCTTGAACTGCAGCATCCAAGATTGCAACTTGTTGCATCCATTTGCTGCTGCAAAAAGCCGGACATCTTCAGGAATTGACGTTTTCCAAAACGAATCAGTAAGCTGTTGGCATAGTGAACAAAAAGTGGAAACAGCACTCTCCTTCACCAAAGATTCCTCGTGCATCCACCAGGCTCAGAAATGAAATTAAATAAATCTTCAAATCAATTGGGGCCACTCGGTGACCCCAGCCCGAGCCCCACCCCAC